CCTCCTTTGTTTTTAAGTCTAATTGGTGTATAACTTGAAAGTAGCAATCAAAACTCACCATTCAAGACATCAGGAATCCCATACACCCAGATCTACTCTATCAGAACAAATAATTGTTGCAAAAATACCAATTAGCAGGAATACATTTAGTAAATTCTGTAACTTTAGATGATTTTGACTTTTTCTCTAATAAACCAACAATAAACTGGGCCTTTAAAGATAAAAATTATGATTTTAATATCCCTCTCCTTCCCCAATTTTTATTCCATGCCTCTAACATGTCCAAAATAACATAGTCAAAAGAATTACAAAGGAGGATCTTGTAAACCCTCTTTGTACCTGAGGGGGTCTTTATTCACTTTGCCCCTGCTTTTCTTCCATAAATCAGCTGGTCTTTTTTCTGTTAACCAGTCAGCGATTATCCAAACAGCAATAGTAAAAATCTAATCCTTTCTCTTTTTGAATATCCCATTCAATTGCAAAGAATCCAAAAAAACTGCATTTATTTTTATCTGTTCTGATTTATTCTCAGTAAATTAGGAACATCTGTAACTGTACATTCAGAGGAACCTGGTAATATCTTTCTAAGAATATTAGCAGAGACAGATTGTTGAGGATCATGAATAAAATCATAATTGTTTCTATTAACAGCAACCTTGTTCATAGTATCAGAATTTCTTGTGCAGCTCTGCTTCAATGTATCAGTTTACTCAGTGTAAGGGGAGATTTTATTCTTTCATAGATAACATCTTGGGCATTTAATTATCTTTTTTAGGCTTGGCTTTCATCATTATGACACAACCAGACTCTCGATCAGAAAAATCCTCCAGAATCCGGAACATCATTAATGCAACATCAAAATCTCCATTAATGGCAATGAATTATACTTCCATTAATTTGTACTCAACATTTTATCTGACTTTTAATTAATAACACATCTTCATTTATTAGGCCTTCATTATTTTAATCATAGATTCTCCCAGCCCTGTTTCATTCCAATGTTTTTTTACCACCCACTTCTCACTATTACAACTGACACTGATGTTCAACATGTGCCAATGCAATCTGACATTAAACCATTAGTGGAATCCATTCATACTACAACGGCAGTTTCCAACCAATCTTCCATTCCCTAAATCCATCCTTATATAAAAATTTGTAGCTTAGCTTTAGATGAAATTTCCAACAAAACATCCAAATCATGAATGCTAGCCTTTCCCCGATTTCGCCTTGATCATATATAGTTTACCCCAATACTACACGACCCAATAATATTATTAGACCAAAGCTTTTAGATCAAGCGGAAATCTAATCCAAACTGAACTAGTTAAGATTCTCTTTCTAACCAATTTCAGACCACTTTTTCTTTAAGATAATTATTCCGCAAATAACCAAGGCCCTCCAATTCAAAACTCTGTTTATATCCCTTACTTCCAAATTTAAAGAGAAAAACCATTTCCCTAGAATATATCTCCAAAAACATTTTAGTTTACCATAGCCAGACCAACACACCTTTTAATGGGTATAAAAAGTTTATCACCCAAGAACATATCCAATAAAGTATTATTCATTTATCTATCATTAAGAAAATTTCAGATCTTGGAATAGAAAGCATATAACAAACCATTCTATCAATAGATGGAGGAAAAATTCAATGAACAATTCTGATTTACCGTCACGACCATTGTAACAATACATCTTTCCAATTTTGTAAGATCCGCCCGATTTATTTCCAGTTAATTGTACATGTTAGTGATGATGTTGATCTAAATCTTTTAGAATATTGATTTGTTGAAACCCATCACAATCTTTTTTGATTCAAATTGAACATTCTGTCCGAATCTTAACCTTATTATGAAAACATAAATCTTGGAAAATATTGTATTCCTTCTTTTACAAAATACCTGGAATCCAATCTTGATTTCCATCCTCTTTATCTGTAATGGACATTTGGATTGACAGAGGCCTCAGTCATGGCCGAAGCCACAAGCAGAGCCGACCCAAAACGCCGGACGAACGCCAAATCGCAAATCGCCAAATCGCCCGGAGCTTATAATAAATATATATGAATATAAGATGTATATATATAATAATAATGATTAATACTAATATATAGTATTACTATAAAAGTATAATTACATGATAATTACAAATAATATATATTATACAGGTATCATGTTACAGTATAATATATTATTTATTTTTTTCAAACTATAGTATTATATTATATTATATCATAATATTTTACTAATATTAGTAATTATTATATTATATTATAATAGTATGTCATATATATAATAACTATAATAATATTTTATATAATATATTATCTAATAATATATTGTTATTAAAATATTATATAATATTATAATAAATATGTCATACTATAATTACTAATTAATATTTGTTATTATATAGTATTATTAATATTACTAATATTAGTAATTATTATATTATATTATAATAGTATGTCATATATATAATAACTATAATAATATTTTATATAATATATTATCTAATAATATATTGTTATTAAAATATTATATAATATTATAATAAATATGTCATACTATAATTACTAATTAATATTTGTTATTATATAGTATTATTAATATATAATAATATATGTTATTAAAATATTAATATATGTTATTATATAATATTATTAATATATGTTATTATATAATATTATTAATACTATTATATAATATAGTATGTGATATTGCATAATAATATATAATAAATATCATAAAATAAATTATACATATAAATTAAACTATAATAATATTTTATTTTATTACATGATAATATGATATAATATATGGAATATATTATTACTTTATGTTTTATATATCATGTCATATATTTATAATATAATTAGCATGTATTAGTTTAAGTAATACAAAACATGTATTAGTTCCGTTTGAATACCATGATGTTTTACTTCTTTCCATTGTGTTTTTGTCAAAAACAAAACAACATGCGTTTGAAAACCATTGTGTCTTTTGAGCTAAATCATCCTCAAACCAAAAACACAACACTTATTTCAAAACACCTTTTAGGTGTTTTAAGTTTGGTGTTTTGGTTTTGAGTTTGAGAATGTGTTAATATAATATCTAATATAATATATTAAATATAATTAATATAGAGTTATTATACACATGCTTATTATATTATATTATACTATAATATATTATAGTTAACTTAATATATTAGTAACATATATTAAATAATATAAAAATATAATAAATAAAATATATTATATAATAATATAATAACATATTAAATACCAATATTTAATATGTTAATAATGTATTATATAATAACTAAATAATTATAAAATATAAATAAAATAATAAAAAATAATAACAAACTTATTGATAATAAATAATAATATAATAATGATATAATAATATACTATACAATAGTATAATCGCTATAATATTATTAACTTTTTAATAAATAAATTGTAATAAATTAATAATTATAAAATATTATATAATAGTAACATATTTAATAATAACATAACAATATAATAATAATCATAAATACTAATATATTATTAAAGTACTATTAATAACTGTAACATATTAAAAACTATAATATGTTATATAATATTTAAATATTTATAATATATTAATTTATTAATAACATACTAGTAATAACATAATATTAACATTATTAATAATATTATATTATATGAATAATAGTATAATATTATATTATATTAATAATAGTATAATATTATATTAATAATAAAATAATATTATTATAAAAATATTAATATAATATACAACAATAACAAATTGATATAACAAAATAATTTTATATATAATTATTTGAAAATAATATGTAATAATTATAATATAATATAACTCATTAAAGTACAATATAGTATTATAATACATTATACAATATTATATTGCATTATATTTAATACTTATAATACTATAATAATGTAAACTAAATATTATAACATTTTATTTATAATATATTTTATTATAATTAATATATAATATATTAATAATATGTTTAATACTAATGTTATAATGGGTCAAACTAGTGTTGGCCAAAAATACTTAACATGGTGTTTTGAAAACATTTTAAGGAAAAAACACAACACCATGATGTTTTTTAACAAAAACACATCAAGGAAAACACCATGGTATCCAAACGAAGCCTTAAGTAATACAAAATTGTTTAAAAATTATCCCAATTGTTTTTAAAGTGGAACAAAATTATTCCAATATGGAGGATGGAATAAATCTTTTACTACTGGGGCAAATTTTTTTTATATGGGTGGAGTAATTTCATCCCAAGTGGTGAAATTATCTCAAAGTGTTCCAAAAAACCAATAACACAAAAATGTATTATCCTTGTTCCATTGTTCAATGAATAACACTATAAAATAGAATCCCCAAAATTATGCCATCAACTTGTAGAAGAATAAATTTTAGGAAACACCCCTTCCCTTTCTTTCGTGAATTGAGTGGTACTAAGTGTTAATAAATTAATCTAGGGGTGTTAACTGCTACTGAATGCATAGTATAGATGAGGGCAGTTATCTGCAATTCGCCCACCAGCTGTGCTGTCCTTAACTCTACAGATTAAGCATATTTGGAGAATACCATGTTTAAATTCACCAAAATTCTCATTCGTGGTAAAATGCTTGATCACCAAAACTTCCTTTCTTTTTTATTTATTTATTTTATTTTCCCTTTTTCGGTTGTTTCATTACGACACAATTTGGGCTGCTCCCCACCAAACAATAATAATAATAAATAATAATAAAAGGAAATTCATCTTGCACATTTCACACTAACAATTATGCAGCATGTTTTGGAGAATCCCATCATTAAATTCACGAAAGCTCCGCGCTCCAAATATCAATTACAGATAATGGAAACAATAAAAAGATCCAAACAAATGAAAATGGAGATGAGAAAAAAAGATTGGGGCGGGGGCAGAGAGAAAGAGAGAGAGAGAGAGAGAGAAGGTACCTGCAGCTTTTTTCTTCGTTGCGGTGAAGTCCGTTGAGGGTAGGCTTCGCTGTGTTTGTACGGCAGGGGAATGAAGAAGGGTCCCGAAACTTCTGGGCTCTTTCTATAAATTTCCTGCTCCTATGCATATAGGCTGAGCATCTAGTTGGGCCGTGTCTTTATTTGTTGCACCCAACTCAGGCCCACTGGGATGGTTTGAAATTAACAGTCTTTTATCCATTTT